TATATATATATAGATAGATAGATAGATAGATAGATAGATAAATCTGCATAAATAAAGCTGAATGTCTATAGGTAACTTTTACAAATCTGTAAATCTGTAACCCAATGGACTCTCGGTGACTATCCCCTAAAAAAAGCGTTTAACGGAGTCCATCCAGAAAGAAAAAACATTTGACCCATGGGTCACCAGTCATCGTAATAAGACGATCACAACCTTTTTTTATCATATGATATGTTGTTTTACTTTATAACCATCGTTGAACAGCCAATCCTATTAATTTTTCCCCCCTGTACGAAAAGCGGGTATTTAGCTGATTCTCGCAATACATCTAAAAACGATGGTAAATTCTGAATATCAGACTTTAAATGATACTATATGAATCTCCTATTATGATATGAAGTCGAATCGGAATGTACAACAAATAATAAGAAGATTGTGTATTTGGTGCCATGAATGTGTAGTGTGGGTGATATTGGGCTACATACGCTTTTTGGAGGGTAGTCATAAACCTATTATCACTGTACCTATATTAGGTTCCTAGAGTGACATAATAGATTCTTATCATCGCAGTACTTATAATGGCGAAACCAGTAGCCGCATTATTTAATCAGGATTGTTTGGCGAGAATAAACGGCGATAAAAAAAAATTATATGAAAAAGCTGAAAGAATGGAGAAAGGATGTGCCGGGATCGAGTTCCAGCTGTGAGTGGCTGATACGAGTTCTGCTTTCGGCTCACTCACACCAGCCGTGAAATATCCTCAGTGATATTATGGATTAGAATACCCTTGTCATCGGATGAATCGTAGGAGCTTTTCGTGGTTTCCCTCTCCATATAACGCCATAGCGGTTTAGTTACATCAAAAATGTCCTCCACGAAGGCTTGCCCGTACCAATGCCAGAGCCAAGAGTTCCCTTGCCTTCTGGGTTGGGTACAAGTCTAAGGAGATGAACACTATATATTCGTAAACTCAGAATTGCCATGCTGTCTCTGACGACAATAATACTTAATTAATTTTGTTAATGGGAACAAATTGAAACAGAAATATGAGCCTCGTCATAAAAAACTAAATGAATGAGGAAGAAGTACTTATTAATATTGAGAAATCGTAAAAAATCACCTTTCTTATTATCGACGCAAATGATGTTTAATTAATTTTAGTAATAGATACCGCTACGTAAATGGGAGTTTTCAAGAGGTACTAAGCGAAATCACCTGCAATTGATGTTGTGTTTTGACTGATCTCAGGAAAACTGTTGTTTGTGGTAAATGTTTGAGTTGAGCATTGATTATTGAATATCTTCAATTTTGATGGGAGGAACAAAAGCTCTGCTTAATATGATAACACATAAAATTGTTTCAGCTTAATTGTTAGTGCAATAATACTCACATCACTGTATAATCTTCTGGACGAAATCGGAGTAGAACCAGGAATCAAGAAATCGGATCCATCTCTCAAATTCTTTGAAGAAACAGCTCTAAGGGTTGTATCATCAAAAGAGCGTCCAGTTTCCGACCACACTCTGGGGAGGATTAAAAATCGTGTGTTATAAGTGCTTTTGAGAATTTCTAGAAATGCTACAATTTGATACTATTTTATGAAACCCGATACATACAGTCCCCCGGTCAAATTATTAAACGCCCAATAAGATTCCATATAATATCTTAATTATCAGGAGATAATCTACAGCTACATTGTTTTTACTCGGCTGAAACCAATTTTGCACTTGTTTAAGCTCCTGTATCAATGGGTTGACATTGAAATGCAATATGTTAAAAATAAATACAAATAGGAAGTCTATAAAAAATCTCCTCAATAAAAACCCCATGACATGTACGCTTAAATAGATATAAAAGTATTGCCTATATACTCGTGCAAATCATATCTTCATTAAAACAAGTCTCATAAGATTTCAGGCGCGTAAAAAAAATAAAACTGTATTCTGCTAATTAAGATTTTACGTAGAATCTAATAAATTGGACAGTGATTTTCATTTCAGTTCATTTCACACATTTAAACAACAACTAGTATTCTAAAACGGATAAAAAAATATATGGATAAAACATGTTATAGTAACTGATAGAACATGTTAGAAAAACTATCAGTTGCTGCATTTTGTGATTGGTATTTCTGGAAGTTTCGAAGATATCGATCGAATGAGAAATGATACAATTTAGGATATCTAAAACAGAAAATTTTCAATAGCCGATTTTTGTTTTCGAAGTGTGAAAAAAAAGTATTAAGCGACTAACCGCAAAACACGAACAATGTAAAATATTTTGTATNTCTGGAAGTTTCGAAGATATCGATCGAATGAGAAATGATACAATTTAGGATATCTAAAACAGAAATTTTTCAATAGACGATTTTTGTTTTGGAAGTGTAAAAAAAAAGTATTAAGCGACTAACCGCAAAACACGAACAATGTAAAATATTTTGTACCAAAATTCTTTTTAGTTGGCAAAAAAAAAACTAATTTTACGTAAAATTAAAAGAAATTATCATTTTAGCTTTTCCTCGATGCTTTTATTTCATTATTTGCACCGTGTCATTAAGTCCATGTGAAGCAGATTTTTTTAATTGCCCTTTTGCTTCTTAAAAAAATTTCAAAATGTATCGTTAAACTCCCGTGAATTTCAGACCTTTTTTCAGTGATTTGATTTATTCGATTGTTTAGAGCAGCTATGATTTTAGAAAATGAGTAACCTTTGTCTGGTGATTGTTGAAGAGGGTGGCGGCATGCTGACTTCATTGAGAAAGTCACTGTGACTGCTTCGACCTCTGGATTGCCAAGGATCAGAATCGAATCTTAAATGTCCTAGAGAACTGTGACACAAGCTTCCTCTCTCGCTGAGGTAGTCATGTCCGCTTCCAACATTAGCCATTCTTGACCCTTGGCTACTTGTTACGGACATTCGTCGACGTCTGCCTTGTTCAGTGCTCCGAGTTGGCGGAGGTAATCTCGCCTCTCTCAGATCGTTTAACTGCAATAAAAATTATTAATAAAATTAAATATCATATTAGGAGAGTATTTGTATAGAGTTTTTGTTCGATTTATTTTTATTGAGGTAGATTTTCTAAGAATTGGTTTTCAAAATCTCTGTTTCTTCACCCTGAACTCTTTTAGAATGTTTTAACGAGATTTTTTCATTTTGAATTTTTAAATTTGTAAAAAAGGAAGTACTTTTATAAGTAATGAAAGGAGAAAAAGAAGAAGACACTCTATAGATGAGCTGCAGAAAAACCTTAAAATAAATGATCATACCCTGGTGGATGGATCAGCAGATGATGATATGTGAGTGAGACTTCCTTGTCTTCTAGGGTAGAGGGTGGAGGATGTTAGAGATTCTCTCCGTCTTGAGGGGAGTGTTGTGAAAGTGGAACACACATCCATCAGATCTCTCCCAAATATCATCTGAAAACAATGAGAAGCACACACATTTAAAATTTCAATGAGGATTATTAATTCCAGTTAAAAATTTCTTATCAACTGATTTAAACTCTTTGGACTTTAGTTACCATACAGTCCCTGTGGCCATACTATTAGACTCACTATAAGATTCTGTTTAAAATCTTTGTTATTAGGTGATACTCTACAGACTGTTTGCACTTGTTTGTGTTCGTGCTTTAATGGGTTAGTATGCAATGCGTTAAAAATAAATATAAATAGGAAGTATGTAAAAAATCTCCTGAATAAAAACCCGTTATATAAAAGTATTGCCTATACACTCGTGCAATACATGTCATTATTAGAACACTACAGTGCGTCTCAAAACTGGATCTTATTATTATAATATACTAATATAACACCTGATATAATTCTATATTTATATAATATATCGTCTATTTTTATCCCGTCGTCTAATTTATATTATATATCGTCTCATTTAACCCATTGATACAGTAACGTAAACAAGTGCAAACAGTCTCGTAAAAACAATAAAGCTGTATCACCTGATAATTAAGATACATTAACGTAAACAAGTGCAAACAGTCTCGTAAAAACAATAAAGCTGTATCACCTGAGTAATTAAGATTTCTCATAGAATCTTAGAGTGCGAGTCTAATAATTTGACTGTAGTTTAAGTATATAGAGTCTTTCTTTTATGGATTCATTAATTTAAAAATTATGTATGTTGTCAAAAATGTGCATATTCAATATTTTGACAGGTAGGGATATTTAATGCACAAGAAGAAAGGAGTGTCATTTTTGAAAATGTACAATAGACTGAATGAATTTGAAATATATGAATTTGAATAAAAATGAATGAATTTGAAATATGTAGATTTTGAATTGAAATTATTACAATAATAATAAAAATAAAAAAACTGACAAAAATATTTTCTGAAAAAACATTTTATTATAAAAAACGTAAGTGCTTAATAAATAGGAAACACCAAACAGTTAAACTATAACTTATTTTAAACATGCACCCAAAAGGAAGAGTTAAAGAACCACAATTCCTTTAAATGAGTTTTAATGTATTTCTACTGTAAAACACTAACAGAGAACCCTGCACATAGCTAATGAAAAATAAGATTTGGATAATAAAGTTCGTATCTTGTAAAAAATATTTTTTTAAAAACAAGTGTGAAATTTAGTTATCACACCATCTTCTCAAATTTGTACAATTAAGTGAATAGATTTTTTAATTCAATTTTTTTTAACACTAAACATACCATTCTAAACATCAAGAACTTCTGCATCGAAAAGGTACATATATCATCCTATCGGTTTTGCACATTTGACTTCCTGATTTTTTCTAACAATTATATACACTTAATATTCTATTATTATTATTTTGTTTGTTTTGAATAATACTTGTCGTATACCTATTTCTAACACAACCGGTCATTTGACCGTGAGAACTATTTATTGCTTTGTAAGATTATCGGATCAGAAATGACGATGCAATGCGTGTTCAACGTATTGCACTCGATGAGTTACACATTTCTGCAAAATGACTGTTGCGTAGTGAGTTCAATCAGAATAACTGCGAATTCAAATTTCGAGAAAGTACTTAAAATTTTAGATTGGCATTTTTGTGTCAGAAAAAGTGACGAAAACGAAATGTTTTAGTCAGTAGCTTATATTCCATTTGGATAGCTTTGCTTCATATCTAACTAACTGCTAGACTTTACCCGGAAACATGTCGAAACAATCAAGACAAGCACAAGTTCTTAGAAAAAATAATATTAATTATAAGAATAATTATAAGAATTATAATTCTTATATTTTCTTATAATTACAAGAATAATTATAAGAATTATAATTCTTTTATATTCTTATAATTATAAGAATAATTAAAAAAATTATAGAAATAATAATAATAATTAGAAGAAATATGCTTGCTAAAAATGTACAATGTAAGCACCCTGTATGTGTTTGAAAAAAATGCGTTGAACAAAGAAATAAAAAATTCTTCGAGTTTGTAATACATAAAAATTGACACTATACAATTTTGTTTGATTATAATTTTAGTTTATTTCCTTCCTAACATCCATATTTCATACATGCAGTCGAGAAACATAAAGTTCGACCGGCTGTGGTAGAAATAGATATGGATTAAGTGTTGGTATGTTTAGTGTTAAATAATAAATGAAATCTATCGATATTCTCCATAACATTTGTGCAGGATTTATTTCACACCAAGTAAGAGAAGTGCATATTTACCTTGTGACAAGTTTGAACGTGTTCCTCCACCAATAGTCGGATAACGGTTGATTGACGAACAGTGCCACCTTCACCCCCTTTTCTTCAACCGATTAATTGAAGTGCCACAACCATTCTTCATTACACCATCCGCCACCCCTCATAAACTCTACTTCTTCCATCACCATCACCAGAAAGAAGAATTGTGCACACCACCACCCATTTTTTTTATAAAAGTGTTAAAAATTTACCAAAACTTAGAATTGAAATACTGGCAACACCACGTTTCAAAATCATTCCTAATTACAGTCGGACTTCTACTTAACGAGCTTCCATTTTGTGAATTTCTCTCTTTTTTGCGATTTTTTTTCGAGAAACCCAAAACATTTTGGAAATTTCTCCGAAGTGAATTTTCTATTGAACGATTTTTTTGAGATCCACTTTCCCTATTTCCCAAAATATTTCAGAACATTTCAAACTTGTTAACTCTTGTTTTTATGGGGGGAATGACTTCGAATTGATTTTCGGAGCCGCTTCACTTTTAGAGAGAGAGAGGGGTCAAATCCCTTTTTGTTTGCATTTCAAGCAAAAAACTCAGACAAAATGAACGGATTTTATCGGCAGCAATTAAACTTAAGAACGTGATGTATGTTTAAAATCACTTTTATAATAAATGCAGTTATAATTGTATACATAAACTTAGCTTTTATTAGTTGAAAATGTATGTATTATGATAGATTAACACTGGATAATGTTTTGTTCTATTCTTACTTTCCATGCAGATTTATTTTAGGGTTAAGATTTATGAAATAGTAGATACTAATTTACAAGATAAAGGTGTATCCATTTCTATTTTAACTATATCTAGTGTTTATGAATTTAAAACCTGTTTTGTGTTGTCTAAGTATTTCAATTGATGATTTTTTTATTTAACAAATTTTCCATATAGCGAACTGATCGGGATTGAGTAACTTCGTTAAATAGAGGTTCGACTGTATATTCAATATCTTGGGTAATTGCATAAATGTTTACATCATGTGACATATTAACCATTGCATTCATCATAAAAAAATATAAACAAAATTTTTTTTTGAAAATAATTTCTATTTCTTAAAACATACTATAAATTTCGACTAATATGTTTGTGAATGTGACTCATTTGTGTTTTGTTTATGGGTAAAGACTCGACTTACGTTTATAACTAAGTCATTTATGCTATGAAAATAAGAAGAAATATCCTAATGAAAATGGGAAAACATTATAAATGGGAAATGTGAAAAAACAAAGCAAAAAACTGATCATCTTAAATAACTTTTGATCTAACAATCGGATCTTCTCGTTCCAAGACTCAATTTTGAAGGGTTGACCTCAAATTTGTTAATACTACATTTTAAGTAACGAAATCAGACACGAAAACGTATTTTCTCTAATATAAAGTACTTTTTTTCCGATGGATTCGGATTTGTGACTCAAAAATTATAGCGGGACCCAATAGTATATATGGACTCAATAGTTTGGTCAGGAGGGCGGTGCAAAGTTTAGAAAGACATCGAAAGGTATCATATCTCGAGAACATTTTAAGGGAATTGAAAACACAATTTTTGCGCACAATTATAAAATTCGTTTATTTAAAGAAATCTCCATGAAAAAAAAACTTTTAGAATATTGTATTTTACCGTGTAAAATTACCTTTTTTAAAACGATGTAAAAAATTACATTTCCTGAACTCTCCTATTTTAAGTCCAACAATTTATAAAAACTGTTCGGAATATTTACAGAGGTTACATACAACAGGTTTAGATACGGAGAAATACTATAATGAAAAACGTGAAATATTACCTATTTACAGATTTCTTAACATCCAACAAAATGTAAAGCTGAAAGTTTTTAGGCGCAGTTTCATAGAACTAAGGTACTCAATTAAAATTGTTTCAATGAAAACTTTTTTTGCGTAACCACACCGCGCTTTCTATTCTATATTCTTGGGAATTCTCACTTTGTCACTCATTTTACTTTGTAATACTCGTTTGGTACTTTCGTGCATTAGTTATGTCATACGTACAATACATTATTTGTACTTAAAGAACACCTATTGCGTAGCCAAAAGAAATTTCTATTTGATTAAATTATTCAAAAGCCATAATAGGTTTTTATGAAACTGTTGAATACAAAACAAATATATTCATGAGTTGCCAGTATTTCTCACATTTGAATGAGTCAAAAAAATCAATTTAACAAATTCGAAAATTTTTTTGTTTCTAAAATTTACTAGAATTCTTTATGTTTGGTTATCCAGATTGATTTATTAAATATTTCGAAATATCAGAAGCATAGACATGGTCATAAATACATCATCATCGATTGTCAATTTAGAAGTGATGACTTTAGCATTATTATTAGAACAAATTTATTGCATGATATCTAATAAATTATTTTAAGTTCTTTTTTTAAAATTTAATGATGCTATTCGACTATTTCCGCTAAAAGGTTAAATATATGTATGCAATCTTATTTACTTTAAACCGCATCGGTTAATAAAGTACACGTATAACTGATGTGATTTTCTCGCTTTTATTTTTTACGCTAAACAAATAGAAAAAAGTAATGAAAAATCTGTATTTAATAACTTTAAAAAAAACTGAAATTGATTGCAATACTTTAAAAAAAAAGAAATTAATCCTACACTCCTTGCTTTATTCGGTTGTGTGTTCTATTAAACTTAAACTAAATTTTTTGCTATTTTTGACGTTTTCGGTTTGTTAAATAGTAATTTGTATAGTTATGACTTTGTTTTATTAATTTTTATATGAAAATACTACGATAAAAATAATAATGAAAAGTAAGAAAAAATATGAATGAATATAAAACTTACAAAATTTAGACAAATGATAACAGTTTTTATTCTCTTGGCTTATTACATCTTTGTGCACTATGTCTTATGAATGAACATTCAGTGCAATAAAGAATGTTAAAAAAAAAACCATTAATATATTTCTAATGGCATTTGTATAATAACATAACGATTCAACAAACTCTCTTTACAGTATTTTCTTAACAAAAAACATAACAAATACTTTACAAAAGTTAAATATACAAACATTATAATCGTAGATATTGGAATTAGAAGACAGACTAAATCATAGAAATAGATCGAAATATACATTCGATCGAAATATTTCGAGATATCTCTAGATGCACACGATCTAAATATCTCGAGATACATAGGATCGGAATAACTCGAGACTATGAATATCTACAGAATGATTCAGAAGAGAAGTTACAAAATTTGGAGAGTTTGTACGGCACATTATACGGCAATCCACGTCATCGTGCTGTTCATGCCCGTACGAAACGGCCCTTTTATCTATCGAACCTATCTTACTTAAATGTTCATTTTAGTCTTTCAATAATAAATGAAATAAACACGAATTCAAAGAAATTCAGAGTTTAATCGTAATTCATTGATTTTGCGACTAACATGCGGAGATCACCCATTCGATCGCCAAATGGCGATAAATAGTTATTTCTGGGATAATTTGAATGTCATTTTTTTTTAAATAATTACTAGAAAATGCAAAATTAACGTAAATATTAAATAATTTTGTAGCATAAAGGTACGTTTCAAATGCGCATGAACAGCCAGTTCATAATGAGGAATGCCATAACCGAAAATGAATTGTTTCACCCTTATGATGTGCTCTACCGGTTTTATAACAACTGTACCGAATGACCCTATCCGTTATCTCGCTTAAATTTGTTTCTCTTCTGTTTTTAAAAAAACACTTTCAGTTTTTTCTCTGTATGTGTCCGTTTCGAGAAGCATTTTGTTCTTACAGACTTCTGTATTTAAAATCCTTGTCAAAAATAAATCACCTCTTTTCCTAAAATATATATAAAATTTAAAAACTATTAAATCGTAAGCTGAAGCTAATTAAATTTAGAATATTTAAACACAACCTCGATTGCTTTTAACTCCCATTTTCTTCGATGTTTTGACTAGGACGAATTATTATTAGTAATGTATTTTGCTTATGCCTGACAGATTAGCTGCTTATGATGAATTTAATTCGATTTTTACAACAATTATCAGTCCAAACAATTTTTTTTTCTGCATATTGAGAATGTTTTTTGTTTCTCTCAAGAACTATTTCAGTGCCTTTAGATTATAGATCCCGATCATTTCATTTTTTTAGACGATTCTAAAATTTAAGTCTTAAGAGAGGTGATTGCAGACCACCATTACTATTTAGCAACAAAAATTAATTTTGACCATTCTAAATTAAACATTCACTTAAAATCCTATATGTGTACTCCAATAACCCCAGAGTTCCTTCACATTTTTACTTGTATGTTCAATTCTAAAGATGTATTAGTATCAAAACACCAAAGTTCCAGAACAAGGAAGTCCGCCAATAAAAGTTTTTTGTAAATATAGAAATCCTCGGTAAGAAATCAAATTAAATGTTCCAAACAACACAAGCACCACTGATACAGTGTAATACGAATGAGAGTTCTTTACATGAAACATTTTTGCCGAAAATGGCGAAATGTTTTTTTGTTTTAAAAAATGAATTTCAATAAATGTTCTAAGTCAGTCCAATCACCACCTGTCCATTTCGGGGGGCATCCTGTAGTTTGGGTAGGGTTGGGTTACCTGTTTTGGGTGACTGTGTTTCGCTCTTGGAATGAGAACAGTTGGTACTTGGAACTCCGACATTCGATCTTCCATCATCTCACTTCTTCGACTTCGTTTCATCGTCGAATTGGTCAGATCCTCCTGTGTGCAAAATATAAAGAGAGACTTGATGAATTTTTATTTGGCCATAAGAAAACTCTATATTGCTGCTTGAAACTTTTTATTGCTAATTCTACTGTTTTGGTAATTTAACCGCTTCCTCGATGATCTCGAGTTAACTCGGGTATGTATATATTGCAAATACTTATGATCCCGAGTAAACTCGGGAATAGCAGAATTCATCAATACGTTCTGTTTTATCACGTTTTTACTCGGCCGGAAGCAAAACAAGAGAATAATCTGCTGTGATCGGAAGTTTGCCCATTTTTGTTTGGGAGTTTTGTGAGACTGCAGACGCGTTTTGTACAATTGTATATACATGATGATTGCTGAATTTACATTTAAAAAAAAAGAGTAAAAAAGTGGCGTTCGAGAGTGAAAGTAATGCGGATGATTTTTTAGATAATGAAGCTGTGAACATACACAAAGATAAATATTTAACTTTATTTCATTGGCCCGAGATTATTTGGGATAGTAAACGAATGGTTAAGTAAAAATTCTTGACGCATAAAACAATTAAAATTTCCACTTAGAACTTGCGTATTATGTTTTGCTTTAGTTCCTTGTATTTATCAATCAAATAAAATGAAAAATGCTGGTCTTTTGCATTTTTTCCCCGAAAAAATTGGATAAAGGAAGCGGTTAATGTGTGCCTAGAGTAAACCATGAAATTTCAAATGCTGAAAAATTGCATCCAAACTATACAAATGCTGACACGTTATTGCAAGATAATATTTCCACTTACAATCATAAATTTGATCATTTGAAATTTCTTTTCAGCGTTTCCAGGTTTACCCGAATTCCATACATTCAAATGCTTATTTATGTGGAAAAGAAAGGTTTCTTCCATAGTATAGCGTCCTATAAAATTCCAAGCTATTACTTAAAATTTGCCATTTTATAAAATTCCTATAAAATGCTTTGTTTCCATATTTTGATGGTGATATGACGTATGATTTCATCCTTAAAATGGCGTGACCGATCTTATAGGGATCGATTCAATGTATCCATCATCCATTCTTAAGAAAAAGAAAATGCATAAAACTAGCTAATTTCAATGCTTAGAGATAAAAAAGTAAACATTGTGTGAAATGAAAGGGGAAGAAAATAGTACTTACTTCAAAACCAGCATTATAGGCGTGATGAGGTCTGTGTTCTCCGCTACTTTCGCTGCTTGAGTCCATAATCATGGCCTTTCGATCTAGAGTACCCGCAGTGGGGGGTACCATTCCTTTGAAAACATTGTTTGGCTTCGGTTTTTGAGATCGCTTCTCTCTTAATTTACGACACCCACACAAAAGACAGAACATCATCAAGATGAGGAGAGCTAGAGCGATGGGGAGTGCAATTGCCAACACTGAAAAAATAAGATTGAATCCTTGTTTGTTTTTCTTCTTAAATCAAAGCAACACATTTAATATAATAAAATAGTGTTCTCAATAGATTTACGCGTAAATATATTAAAAATAGGTCAAAGTATTTTAACGTTCATAGATTTCTTACCCAATCCATTTATTTCACATTGTTTACCAAGGTACATACGGTAACACCTGAAAAAAAATGAATGAAATTATTATATTTCTCTATGAATGAGTTAGTTTTTTAAACATTGCAAAAACAGGCAATCCTATGAGTTGTTACCGGCAGAATTTGTTGTCGTCCTCCGTCATGATGCAAATGCCACGATTATTGCAATAATCACAATCTTTAATTTCACCTGCAAAAGAAAAATTGCATTTTTTATTTATTTAATTAGAAATAGAAAATTACATGTATGTTCAAATGTAAAAGTACTGTATATAAACTCGCGCAAAACACGATATTCTTAAAGGACTACAGTGCGTTGCATAATTTAATCCAATTATTATAATATACTAATATAATGACTGATGTAATAAATATTCTATATTCATATATAATAGATCTTCCAATGTATCCAATCGACGAGTTCATATTGTATATCATATCGTCTAATTTAACCAATGGCTACCCTCTCGTAAACAAGTGCAAAACACTCGCATAAAAACAGTAAAGCTGTACAGAGTATCACCTGATATAATCAAGACTTTACATAGAATCTTAGAAACCGTCTAATAATATGGCCAAGTACTGTGACAATAGATATGATCCATCAATGTATCAAAGGGGGTGGGGAATGTATTATTATGAATAAAGTTTCGAAGTGCAGACTCCTGAATTTTAATTAATCTTCATCGCCAAACATTTGACGAATGAAAGAGGTTTCAAATGATAGTTCTCCTTACGGCAACCCTTAAAGATTATACCACAAAGTGTAATCAATGTAGTTCTCTTTAGCAACTACGTGCAGACGATAGTGTCATAAAATAGAGGAGATAACTTGACACAATTCTAAATTTAGCAAAAAAATTCTAGAACATAGTAATAAACATCTCTACTTTTTCTATCCTAGTTCAAAAACAAACAAACAATAAAACAGCTTTGGATTTGTAAACCGTAAAGAAAAAGTTTGCGGAACAAGAATTTACAAAATCAACCGAAAGATTAATTTTAGTAAAAATTATTCTATTTGCTTATTAATTGAATGTTTAATAATCTTTCGATAATGTTTTTTACGTAGCTAAATAAATAAATAATGCATCACGTAAGTTGAATGAGTAAGCTAAGTTAAATCAGCATAATTTATATCTCTCAGCAAATTATATTTGATTTCAACAAAACTGTTTCAAACAAGAGTTTTATTGAGAAATGAAGGCTGCAAACTACAGAATGTAAATTAATATGAATTATGAACATAACATCTCATCTTATAATGTAAATAAGGCACTTTTTTCCGCAGTATTTTGATTTTATTTAAATAATTTCAAACTAAGGTTTAATCGAGTAGGGATTTATAGAGCTAAAAATGACCAAAATACATTTTATGCAAATACAAAGACCGCTCGATCGAAAGATTCATTTAGTAATTCTAAATGAGTTACTAAATGAATTTAAAAAAATTATGGATAGATTATAGAAATATAGAAAATTATAGATAGATATAGATTGAAAGAAAAATACCATTTTGCCTGATTATTAACTGAATCTTAAATAATTTTTCAGAAAAATCATTTTTGAAGCAGTCTTTTTTTCTCTTTTCATGATTTGTTTTTTTAAAAAAATTTAATGAATTATTATAGTTATTTAACAAAAATAAAAAAGGCTTTAATGTTATTCAGTCTGGAAAAAACTTTTCGAACGAACTGATAAAAACACATAAGAAAACGTGTGTTAGAAACAATAAAAATTATTCTTTCAATATTTAGTCAAGTTTAAGTCAGTTCAACACAACCATTTATTGTGATAAATTCCAATATAAATGAGAAAAAAAATATTTTAACATATAATTCAACCATTTTTTTTTCCCGGGAACTAATGTATCCAACCAGAGTAAATAGGGCCCACATTGTGGCCCTATACGTTACTATATATGTACATATACAATAGCGTTGAAATAAGAAAATTCACAGTCAATATTATGTTTTTTACAACATTGCCCTCTATCTCCCCTTAATATTGGACCATTTATTATATTGCCGGGTACTAGTGTACCCTATCAAAGGAAATAGGGGCCCACAATGTCGCCCTATAGGTTACTACGTATGTATATATGCAATAGCGGTAAAATGAGGAAATTCGCAGTCAATATTCTATATTACAACATGGCCCTATATTTCCCCTTAATATTGACCCATTATATTCCAATTGGACCACGTATTGTATTACCGGGTACCCTACCAGAGGAAATAATTATAGACTTATTAGGGGGTACACTATGTGAACCTGTAGGTTACCGTGTACATATGTATGTACTAAAATATTTTTATTATCGCGATTTTAGTTACAGTATACCTGAGCAAATCCTTCCAGGTAAGAGAGGTTCCAGATCTTGATATCCTTCTTTACATTCACAGCTGTAGGATCCAGGTAAGTTGACACAAACTGAACTACGAGAACAGTCGTTGTATATATCATCACTGCATTCGTCGAAATCTAACAAGAAAATTAGTACACTGTAAGATCAATTAGAAGTTGACACAAACTGCACTACGAGAAAGTTCGCTGTATCTTTACAATCATCGAAATTTAACGAAATTTGCAAAGCATTAAATCAATAAGCCATTAAATAAACAAGCTGCACCGAGTCGTTGAGTGGATAGAGTATCATACCCAAGTCCAAATTTTTGATGGTTTTCCATTGATGGATCAACATAATTTTGATGGAAACCATCCAGAATTCCACCATAAACCATTACATTTTTGATGGTATCCAACATAAGTAACCATCACCCCAAAGTAGGAATTCGGACGGGTTTAGGATGGTCCAACATGAGAACTTGTTTTGATGGTTTGTTCCAGTTGAGTCATCAGAAATTTCTATGACAGAAATCAAATGTTGGAACGGTCCTGAAATACCGTCGCCCCAATGTAAGGACTCGGACTGATTTTTGATTAAAAAAAATTGCTTTGATAGTATATTCCTGCTGATCCAACAATTATTATTAAACCATCATGGAAATGCATCGTTGCAACATCATGAATTTCCACCACAGTGTCTTAGAAATCAAATGTTGGAACGATGATGAACAATCGTTATTACGATGAACGAATGATTGATGATGGTCCAACATAAGCAAGTTGTTTTGTTGGTATATTCCTAAGAACCAACAAGAATCTCGATTAAACCATCGTGAAAATGTATAGTTGGATCCATCATGGACCCTCAAGGTTTGTGGGTCTATGAAAATCCAGCTTCTCTTGATGGTTAACCCTCATCACATTAAAATGGCACTTTCCATCATGGAATGATGGAAGTTTGGGGGCATACCAGAAACCATGGAAAATGTTGGATGAGGGTGACCATCCTATGATGCTGGATCCTCATGACTGCAAACCATCAAAATGTTATGATGGAACCATCCAGAATTGGGTATCTGTTTACATACCTTGTACGTCTTCAACTCTTTGAATGATGGGACTGACGAGTGTTGTCGCGTTGACTAATTCTATTTCTGATGCAGCGAATTCTAACGATTGGGCCAATTCTTCTTTCAAGAATTCTTCATTGGTTGGCTTCTCGCCACTCAGCTGCACAGTGAGGTTCACGAACACACCACCCTCCTTCCTACCAACACCTATAACATTTGTGCTCACGTAATGATCACGCACGTTAGACGTCTTGTAAGCATCATCCACCTGCAAACAACAACATAAATGTTCCTTTTTAAAAGCTCTAAAAGTTAACAAATACAATTGACACAGAAAACCTATATTAAAAATTTAATAGGGTGCTTTTTAAAGAAAGCTGATATCTTTGTTAAGAAATACTATTGTTATACAGTAAAACCTCGCTACAATGTTCGCTATTTTGGGGACCCAATAAATAGAGTGTGCCGACGAGTTGGCCGAGTGGTTAGCGTGCCTGACTGCGGACTCGATGGTTGCGGGTTCGAATCCCGCTCAGGGCATGGATGTTTCTTTCTCTCCCTCTCAGTGTTCTATGTCCTTTCTTCTGTGTGATTGTGTGAATGTAACCCACCGTATAAACGGGATGACGTGGGAGACGCTACTCCACTGCCGTGGCTTAGCCATAGGTGTCTACTGGGTAACGATAAGAGAGTAGCAATTTTGGCATTTCAGGGGACAATGGGAAATAGATCCAAGTGCCCTCCATTGACCCAAAAAATAAATATAGTGTTGTAGGATATAGTGTTATATCGACAACCTACTTACTTTGAGGACACAAGAAGATTTCTTTTTAAGTTTTAATGTTATATATTTATTAACTACTAATGTATTTACATAAAACGCAAAAAAATAATTCGCAGAGTATTATTTATGGTTAACTATTAAAAACAATCGAAATAAATTCAGAAAATAAGGTCGTAAACATACCTGAAAACCGTTTTTATGAAAAATAATCTGATATTTTTGTTTGTTTATTCAATTTTTTTGTCAAGCCAACCCCCAAAGTATGCATTGAATCCAAAAAGACGAAAATGATTTTCGTTTGTGAATGGTGCTCCACCCACCCTCTGCAGAAAAAATTCTCTTTCAGGTCTTAATGTGATGCTTGTGGTCATTTTCTCAGCTTTTAACGTGGCGGAAATGAAATCAGATAGTAATGTTACATCTGTGACTTCTTAAGAGATTAGGGAGGCAGTTGGGGTGGTCAGCAGTGAGTCTTCTCTTGTCAGATAAAATAAGATTTTTTTACATTATTTGAGAACCAATAATAAATGGAGAAAATAAGGTTGAAATTTGGAAAAAAAATCGTTTTACAGGGGTTTATTGCTTCGGAGAATAAAGTAACAGTGAGAGGAGCGTGACATTAATTTATATACAAGTTCGTCTGGACACGAAGCATTCTCGTAATAAAGGGAGTTATTGTAGCATTGGATGTCGTAGTAGCGAGAGTTCACTGTATTTAAGAAAAAACTAATTAAAAGAAAGAGATGATTCTTACAGCTTTTCGGGCTGTTGTCGTCAGATTCTGGTATTCAGGTGAGAGTGAATTTTCCAGTTCCGGTAAATAGGACACCTCATTACCACCCATCTTCAAAACACGTACTAAAACCACATAAGATTTAACATCTGAAAATAAAGATTCAAAGTGATTACAATGTAACGGCCCTCCAGCCGTTTTAACAGAATCTCTTTATATAATATGCATATTTTTTAAAGGCAATGACAAAGGAATAATTAATTTTCATACGTGTGTAACCAATTTGTATTTCATATGTGTGTATCTCAATTGCATCTGTGGGGCTAATAGTTAACGACAATGTCAACCTTCATCTATGAAAAGGTACCCCACATCAAAGAATCGAGTTAACATGTTTTATATACTAGGGAATTGGAATTATATTTTTGTAGTGGCAGATACACTACAGTATTGAATTGAATATCACAGGCTGAGCCATTTTTACAACATTTTGTGAACAATTGTTATGATTAGGAAAATCGGAAGACAAACTATCAGTTACTTTATGCGTTTTATTATTATTTTTTTTAAGGAAAAATGATTTGTTAAATGATTTGAGTAAGTAAAGATTTTTTTCTCCGTATATATAAATCGTTCAGATGGAAAGTTAAAAAAAAATTTAAAAAAAACTTTTGTAGGGAAACAAGAATGTGAATTTTATCTGAACATTTACAAGAGCTCATTCAGCAAAGTTTTATTTCAAATCGCAAAATACACGGAAAATATTGATATTTGCATTCAAAAAAAGAGTTGACGCATATTTAGGACATATAATAACGTAAACCTAATTTATATTTAAAAAAAATATTAATTAAAAATTAAAATTACGGATCCATTATGCAAACAATATTTAGTGTGAACTAAAATTAAGGTACTATCATGTATACAATATCTAGTGTGAACTGAAATTAAGGTACTATCTTGTATACAATATCTGATGAGAAGTGAAGTTACGTTGCTATCATGCATACAATATCTAGTGTGGACTGAAATTTTAGGTGCAATATCTAGAGTGAGGTGCAATATCTAAGGAAATCTCTCACCTCTGCACTCTTGAGAACCATCTTTCTTGAAAAATCCAGGTCTGCATTGGCAAGACCAGGACTTGTCAATGTTTTGTTTGCAAACCTCTTTGTTCTTCAGGTTGCATTCTCTTGGACAGCCATCGGTTATGGGTACTAGAGTCTTTCCGGGTTTCCTGAAAGTAGTGGATTCCTTGGTTGAAGTTTTAGGTGGTTTTTGCGTTGTGGTTGTCGGAGGTTTGGTTGGGAATAGTTTCAACGGCGGACCTGTTCTTCCAGGTTTCGATGTTGTAGGTTCGGTTGGTCTATTTCCAGATTTGAATAATTGTATTGTCTTCCGGGTTGTGGTTGATTTTTCTGTGGTCACTTTTGGCCTTTGGTTAAATGTGAGTATGCCTATAATGGAAACATAAATATAAAATTAGAAAGAGTGCAGGAGATATTTTGTTTGAGAAGTAATGCCTTTCCTTCTGTCCAATGGGTTAAGCTACCGTACCTTAATAATGTACCAGGTAATTTTTTTTAAAAAAAATTATTGTTTTTTTTTAAATTTTTAATCATAACAAAAGTAAGTCATTTTTTATATTTCAACTTTGATTAGATCATTTTATTGAATAGTCCTATTATTTGTTAAAAAATTTCTTTTACATAAAATTTAAGTGAATGGTCCGAAAAGTTTTGACTTAAACAGTTATAGAGGATTTTCAATTCTTATATTTGTTTCCTAGATTTTTATTCAAAAAAAGTTTCATTATTTTCATTTGAAGATACTCCAATTTTGTTTCTCATTTTCTGTTTTGCTTTACTTACTACATTTTGTTTGCTACATTTTACTCACTATTATTGTAATTGTAACGTAGAAGATGGATAGAATGTTGTGTTCCCCAACTTTTTACACATTTTACAATCTTAAAGTGTTACTATGATTACTAAACATCATTTAGATGTGAACAACTTTAAAACATTTTATTTTCATTTCTCAAAGTAAACTTGACTCTCATTGTGAGATTATCCAAATAGCCATTAACCGCTTCCCTGATTACCCCGAGTTAACTCGGGTACGTATATATTACAAATATGTATCATCCCGAGAAAACTCGGGCTTAGCAGAATTCGTCAGTACATTTTGTTTTATCACGTTTTTATTCGGTCGGAAGCAAAAAAAAAAAAAACATAATCTGCTGTGAATTGGAAGTTCGCCAAGTTTCATTTGGGAGTTTTTCTCTTGGACTGAGGGACTGCACAACACGTGTTTTGGGTGATTGAATATACGGATGGTTGCTGAATTTACATACCAATAAGAGTAAAAAAAAATGGCGTATTCCTTCACTGACGTTTGAAAAATATCACTTTGTGTTGTAAGAACTATACTACAAAGACTCATATTTAACTTCTTTCATTTGCCCGAGGTAATTTGGATGATAAACTGATTTTAAATTAAATGTTTCTTACACATAAATAAAATTAAAATTTCAACTTAAAACTTGTGTATTATGTTTTGTTTCAGTTCCTTATAATGAGTAATAAAATAAAAAAATATGTTCAAATTTTGAATTTTTTCATAAAACAATTGGTGAGGAAAGTGGATAAGAATAACATTTTTACCTGCCAATCTTGGGGAATCTGTAGATGTTCCCGTTGCGGGTCTGGTCGGTTGAACCCCATGAGTAGGAATGACCAATGTCCTCACAACAGTGGTGGCGATAGAATTAAATATAAGTGTAGTGGTCGTTACCGTCGTGGTGGATTCCGATGGTTGCATAGTCGGAATAACTTGCAATGCTTCTGTTGGTTCCGGTTGAGTACCCAAAATGGTTCTCGAGCCAATGATGGTAGAGACATAAGTTCTGGGAGGGATAGTTGTAGTAAAAACGGATGTGTCCGTGACAAAAGTCCCTTCTGTTTGGTGCACATTACTCGTTGTTAGTGTCAATGTGAGTGTGACGCTCTCAACACTCGTAACGTACCTAGTACCCGGATGAGAGTGCTCAGGACTGTCACCAGGAACTGGGAAGAAGATAGTAGTCTCCCCCACTGAAGAAAGCGTTTCTGTATTTTTGTTTTCCGTCGTTTCCGAAATTGGGGGGAATGTCCCGAAGATCGTTGTTGCGCCTGATATGTTGACACGACTCGGCCCACGAGCATATAGATCGTCAGGAGAATCAAAGAATATAGTTTCCACTCCGACAACAGATGATGTTGAGATGGAACCTTGCAAAAGAGTGGTTGTTTGCGGTGGAGGTTTCCGAGCATCTGGGAAACCGAAGAAAATAGTTTCAAGTCCAGTGATGATTGATGTGCTCTCTCCGCTTTCAATTCCCGGAGTAGACATTTTGTTTCGATCATCATTTTCGTGCTTGGACACGCTGCCTTGTAGTGATGGGTCGTGAGAACCGACAAATCTTCCATCTGATTCAGAAATGTAGAGTGTTTCGGGAAATGCAGTTCCAGTGTGGTTTATAAGGATGGTATCCGTGCCTATAACCACGCTTGATAAAAGCCTGATTTCTGTTGCAGGCTTATCACCACCTGCCTCCTCATAGTTCACTATCGGTGTGAAGCCTGTAATGAGAGTGCTAGGTCTGAGAATGCCTCCTGCTGAGGATAGAGAAGGCTTAACAGATGGTTTCGTATTGCGTCCTATGGCTCCAATCGGAATGTATATGGGTTCTTCGATATTGCTAACCGTGGCTCCTCCTACTGGCGGGGCCAACGGGGAATCGTTATTTTCAATCTGTTTTGTAGAATTAATTCTCTGTTTGTTGCCATTGGCAGCAAACAGATTAACAATATCTTTAATAGTTTCGCCCAAGTTTCCAACCAAGTTAGTGTTGGTCAGAACGTCCGATAAATCGATGACGGCTCCAGGTTTGATTCCCAGGGTCTGAGATGATCCCGATTGATAAGTCGTTGTGGGATGTACAGCAGCGTGATGTGTGGCCACATCGGTCAGTCTTGTGGTGGCGTAATCTGATGCGGAATCTCTCGCAGAAGAAGGTGTCTGTGATTCGTTGGGAAAGAAAGATGTTTCTAAATGGGGCGTAGATTTAGTTGAAGATGGAGGCCGTGAATCTTCATCGGATGGGACGATAAAATCAGTAAACAAAATGTGCGTTGCTCCATTAGAATCTGTGGAAGGAATTCCCGTGATGATAGAGGGTGGAGATTCACTTTGCACTTTTGTTTCAATGCCAATTATTTGTATGTCATCATCGAAGTCAACATTAGTTGCAGATGACGTACTCTCATTTTGCGTTGATGCCGTGGTTGTAGTGGTTGGCTCCACTCTTATTTCGACTGAATCTGATGATCGTAATAAAGTAGGTGGCGTTGTCGTACTGGGTCGATAAGCACTTTCGGTTGGCGTCGACTCGATGGTGACGTATTGCGTAACGACTGTCTCGCTGTCACTTATGATTGTCTCAGTTCCTCTAAAGAGTGTCGTGTAGTAAGTGTAGGTCGTGTAGAAAGTTAAAATTTCACTGGAAGGTGAAATTTTGTCCTCAGTGGATGATGATTTAATATCATCTCTTTGGGAACTTGTCTGCCTAGTGTATTCATCACTAACTGTCAAAGAAGCAGGTACAAATAAAGTGATGTAGGATGTAGCAATCTCTTCTCTGCTCGACAGGATTGTGCTCGAGTCAGTGAACAGTGTCGTGAAGTAAGTGAGGGTGGTGTATTGTGTTCGAATGGATGGAACTAGATCTTGGAATGTAGGCTCAACAGTCTTTGTTGATTCATCCATCGTGCTACTAGCTGAAATCGTTACTCCGGGCTGTTGTTGTTGTTTTACAAGTTCAGTTATAACACTCGGAGCCACTTCGGTAATGGACGAAAGAATAGACTCTCCGCCACTGAATAAGGTTATGTAATGAGTATTCGTTGCTTGGATGGTTCTTGTTGTGTACAGTGCTTCTACTGAGGGTGGTGGACTCTTATCTAATGTGAGCGTGATGACGTCAGTGGCGATTTCTTCCAATGGCGAAACTATAGATTCCGAACCCCTGAACAGCGTCACAAAGTTTGTGACGGTTCTGTAGAGCGAAGTTGTCGATAGCTGTGGTGGTTCGGTGGTCTTCATCTCGGTTGGGATGATTGTTTTGGTTATGGTGTATGTTTCTGTCGAACTGACGACCGAAGATTGCAGCTCCTCCAGAGGCGTCACGACAGTTTCGGTGCCGTTGAAGAGAGTCGCGTAGAATGTGTGAGTTGAGTAATAGGTTGTGCTCACCAGATTCTCGCTCGTTTCTGTCACTGTCACCGGCTTCAGAGCATTGGGCATCGTGACCGGAACGGAATAAACATTGGTCACCACTTGTTCGGAAGTGGATATCGAAGGCGTTCCTTCGTTGAAGAATGTAGTGAAGAAAGTGAATGTCGTCAAAAGAGTTCTCGGTTCGTAAACGGTCGTTTTGTCCTTGTCCATCATCCGAAGAGCATCTGTGACCATCGTTGGGCTCAGAGTCAGAGTGGGCTGGGCCATGTCTCCATCAGATGCCACTATGAGAGAAACTCCATTGGAGATTTTAGTGATGAGGTTCACTCGAGGTCCTATGCTGAGCTGATTGTTGACCAGCTGTGGTTTAAGAGTTTGAGCTGGTTGTCTAACATTGGAAAAGGAACCTAAAGTAAAAAGATTCATTCCTTTAATATGTATGAACACAATTCCCTAGCTACAATTCATCAGCACTTCATCAGGGGGCACACTGCTTGCTAACACGTCTGTTGTGTCCCCTGATGAAGCGCTGTCCCGCTAACTCATATATATTTAACATTTTGATGGTTTTTGTCTTTTGCTGGAGTTATTTCTCTGACTTTTTAAATTTAATTTAAGTAAAACAAATTTGGATTTAGCTGCTTTAAGTTCTTTTCTATTTTGATTTATTGTTTTAAATGTTACTTACTTACTTTGTTTTTTTTCTTTCTGAATTTGTAAATTAATTTCATTCCTTGATTAAATTTTAATGTATATTTTCATTTAAGATGATTTCTTTTCAAATAGTGTTTTGTATAAGGATGCTTAAAAAAACATTACTATTTTAGTTATTTAGAAATAAGAAAAGGGGAGAAAAAAATGTTTATAAAATAGGTTCAAAAAATTGGGGGAAAAAACCCCTGAATTTTAAAGATAAGATTCCTATTATTCTTTTTATATAAATATGAGTTCTTTGACCTTAGTGCACTCTAATAATATTTTCAACGTTTATTTTTCTGATTTCTCTTTTTGGCAATAGACTTATATAAAGCTTCATTTAATTCCGGTACAATAGGTGTATTAAAAAAAATTGTGTGTTGGTGTAGAATTCCAGTTCCTTAAAATATCAGTTTAAATAGTCATTTGATTTTAGGTGACATTTGTTTTAACACAGGAAAGACTGGATGTTGCTGTATATTAACCACTTTCCTGATTATCCCGAGTTAACATGGGTACGTTTATATTGCAAATATTTACTATCCCGAGTAAACTCGGGCATAGCAGAATTCGTCAATACCGTTTCGTTTCATCACGTTTTTTACGAGAAAAACAATAAATCTTCTGTGATTGGTTTGGAAGTTTGACAAGTTTTGCTGTTGGATTGTGGGACTGCACGCGTGTTCTGTACTATTGTATATACGATGGTTGCTGAATTTACATAGAAAAAAAGAATATAAAATGATAGAGTGCAATGAAATATACTTACTGGTAAGCAATGCTTCTTCATTCAGAGTTGGAGTTGTGATGAACGATAAATCTGCATCAGGTTCTAAAAATGAATAGATCAGACTCATAAGGTTTCACAATCAGCTAACAAAAATTTAATAATCCGGCACACTTATCATTATGTTTATATATATATATATATATATATATATATATAT